GAGGGGAGGGCTTTTTTTTGGTGGGATGAATGATGAGGGAGGGGGTGGAGTGGAGAGTGAAGAGGGGACTCGGAAGTCGGGAGGGGAGGGGACTCGCTCAGGGGAGGGGTTTAGTGGAGTGGAGTGGGGGTAATGCAAGGTAACTTAGTAAGGCGGGGTTAGTTTTGTATTTATATCTATAGACTTTTTTTTTGGTTCCTCCTTCGAGGAATGAGGTAGGGAGTATAGTATAATATATATAAATAAATAAATAACCACTCCAAATACTATGGCATCTATCTTAACTGCATACGGTAGGTAGGTAGGTAGGTATATACAGTTCATTCTCATACAAATCCGCGGTCGAAAATGCGTGATCTAAAATTGACTCGACTTGACTGCTAGTGTGCTAGTGCAAGTACGTTTCTGGTAGTCGGGGTGGGAGCGTGGGATTTTTTGGGATTTGGGTGTTGGGGGTTGGGGATACTTGGTAGATAGGTTGGTAGGTAGGTAGGTATTAGGTATGCATCTATTGATGGGATTTATTCATCGTTTCTGTGGTATTGTTAATGTGATGATGGGAAGGGAAGAGATCGTGCAGTGTGATGAAGTTTTGGATGATGATGCATTGTAATGTGATGGAATGGAACGGTAAGAAGGGAGATTGACGGTGATGATTATAAGGAGTGAGGAGTAGGTTAATTTATTAGGGATTTTAATATTTTAACAATGATAGTTTCCGGAAAGTATAGTGTGATGACGGTGGGATTTGAAAGTTGAGAACAATGATGATATAGTACCTAACCAATGATCATATCGAGATACTTTTCCGGGAAGAAATGTATCTATAAAATATCCCGAGATAATTAATAAGATACTAGGTAGGTAGGTTTGTTGACCCATCCTATGGAAATAATGATACATTGCCAGGTGGTCATGCATATGGATAGACCTACCATCCAAAAATGAATTGTCTGTTTGTGTATTGATGAGGTTTGGTATGCTGAGTTGGTGGATGGATTTATATACTCGCAAGTTTGAGATTTTTATCATTGTGCCTGGGTATTTATGGATTAAATTCACAAATAGGAGATACCGGTCTTTAGATTGTAGATTTAAGATGAAAGTGCGCTGAGATTGTTACGGAAGAGTTGCGATGCTTTGGTTTGGTGTGGATTAATGGGATTTGGTATGTGTAACGGTTTTGAAAAGAGAGATGGGTATAAATAATTATCTTTGGGAGTTCTTATCTACTTGACCTACAGTAATTTGATTATATGTTTCGAATCACCCAAAGGTGTATTGGTAGTAGGAGTCCTGTCCTGGCACTTGGGAGAGAAATTTTGGAAATGTTCTATGGCTCGAATGGGTGGGTTTTATTTACTAGAATCACTTATAAGGCGTGGAGGTTATAGCTTGAGATCTGACAATGATGGATAGCTAAGTTAGAGGAGAGTAATGAAATTAATCGTCATATCATTGTCAGTAGAACAAGTTAAAAAAGAATAATAATCTAAAAGGGGTTGACAGTTGTTTCTTAATATCCCATTGCGCCTTGGAAAGTCTTGCTGAGAGATCTTGCTAAATTTATAAATTTAAATCAAACAACCAGTGTCAAATCTCTAAATCCAAATTCGAAGATCTTCTCATTGTTTATTTCAACATGTTTGAAACGTCTGAACTAATTAGTGCAACAACAAGAATTCTCAGCTACAGTTACACACAATAGATCCAAGGGGTCCAGGTCCAGGTCCTGATAAAAGCACTAAGAAGTATAACCACACGTCTTCTTCTTCTTCTTCTTCGTGGCGACATCTTGTCCCGTTCCCGAAGCTTACAATGCGTTCTGAGTTTTGAATTTCAAGAGGTGTGGAAAATATATATAGGTACTGAAGTAAGTACCTATCTCATACGAAGGAGGAATATTGTATGGAGTAGTGAGGGGTCATATGGGGGGGTGAGTGAATCAGAGTGGTTAATAGCAGCTTCTAGGATTGAGATTAAGATGGAGATGGGAGATCATGGATTGGGGTAGTGGATAGAATTTGATTTACTGAGTATATAAGAAATTGTATTCCCTTTGTAGCCATCTTAACAATGAGAATATTATTGACAATTTCAATCCAGCGCAGGTTACTATCAACTATTCTGAAAGGGATGACTTGGTATACAAACAGTATATTGTAATAGGCCGGCTTGATCAAGCTATAATATCTATGTACAGCTAGTGAGGTGTGATTGATCTTTCTGGTCTTGCTTCAATGAAATGCTTAGCTTCATGGAATTGGTAACGGCTGTAAGATGAGTAATAGAGGGGTATACAATAAAAACAATGAAAAGAAGCCTACAACAACACTATTCCATTATTGTACCAACTTTATATGCTCAACGTAACAGTCTTCTATGGGATGATAGAATCTTTCACAAAATAAACAACCCCCAGGGGCATGCTCCTCCCCCAGCTATCAAGTACTTCTCATCAGCTACTACATTTGCATATTGTGGACTATCTGGAGATCATTTGATACAAATAGGAGATCGAATGAGATTGGATTTATATAGTCTGTTAAGGATAATATTGATGAGGCTCAGCTGATGTAATTGAAAATCAACGAGTAGAGTAAATTATGAAAAAGAAGAGTCTGTTATATATTGACGGTATAGATAACAAACATTGTACACGTTTCTCAATCTCTTGACCCATAATATAAGATTAGATTACCGTACATATTCCAGGAGCAAATATAGTGATATTTACAAGAGGTTTATAATGGTTATACTTTACCCGACAAGTTTTCTAACGTGACTCCTGGAATTTCCCATCACTTGGAGTATATAAACCACCTTTCATTCATTTTAATTGTAGCTGACAAGCAGCAATAACAAGACGCGAGCCAAACCTCAGGAATAGAAACTCTTTTCTCCGCTTCTGCATGGAATGGAGGCATGAAGAGTCAAAATGAGCTGAGGTAATGCGGGCTACTATGTAGGTGTCAAAAGGATCGGGAATGAACGAGGAAGTGGCGACGGTAAGGCTAAGAATGGCAGTAGCAATGTCATTGAATTGAACAATGAAAACATAAATCATAATCAAAGATTCTGAATATATATTAAGATCCTCCGTCTCCTAGTGATGAATGTATATCTAATAGTATGTGGATATATTGCAATAACAAATCCATCCAGATATCCACCTTGTGGAATCTCTACACTTCATTTTTAGTACAACTGAAGATTCTAGAAAGAAAGGAGGGTGTATTATATACTAATGTAATGTCCTAATCTAATCAAATCCGCCCTTCACTTATTCCGCCCCATAACCTTGAACTGCGAATACCTAAATTGCGGCCTTGGGTCAGAACTTTACAGTTGCTTCTTTGGCAGAGCCTAATCACACTTGCTAGAATTTTTTCATTGCTTTGGTACCTGAACCTTCCGCCATCCATTCTAACCAAGGACAAGTACTCATATCTAAACCAACAGCTTAGAAAAGAAGTGTGGCCTAGGGAAAAGCCCGATCATGCAACTGGATTCTACATATTATAATTATATTACATAGGCCGTATAATGCGGGAGTATGTGATGCGAGTAAGTATAATCAGATGATTAGTGGCAATGATAGAGAGAAAGTTAATAATGGGATATTAAGGGGTGCTGGCTAGATAAGTCAGTAATAGGTAATAAGAGGGAAAGTATGAAGAATGGTGATCATAATAACAGAAGCCCCTCCACTATTTCAAATCCCCCAGTGGTAGGTTTTCCAATACTTAAATATATAAACCCACCCCTCAATCAACTTTCAATAAATTTGACATAGAAACTAGACAATGAAAGATAAGTTTGCAGGACAGAGGGGCAGTTTAGACGCAAACCAGGAAGGTACTGTGGATTATGAAAGTTCCATTGCGGGTGATGCTGGACCTCGAAAAGTATGATGAATATAATAAATGATGAGTATAAGTGAAATAATGGTGGGAAGATGCACAATGTTTGACAACAAGAGTTGTCTCTGTTGGAAAGTTGACATGAACAATGAGCACCGATAGAATCCCAAATCTTAAAGAAATTTTCCTCTGGCGATGCGATGCTACGTAGTTATTAGGACTATTCATAAATACGCCTCTCGACTTCGTCTTTCATTGCTCCCTCATCACCTACTGGACTGCTCACATAACGGATAATGATCAGGAGGTCTGAGGACTATATTTATACCCTACTATCAGACCCGCTGGGTCGAGATCCTTAAAAAAGAGAGAAGCGGAAAGATTCGAAGGTATGCAGAACCAAACTTCCCTTCCATCCTCTCGACTATAAAGGTAAGCTAGATAATCTATTTTGGTAAACTATCAATCAATTACATAACTACAAAATCAATTGGATCTAAGGTCGAGATGTGGGAATCAGATTAGAGAGGTCCAGAAGATTTTCAAGTTTCTAGGCAAAAGATCTTGCATACTATCAGAGTAGGTACCTGAAGCAGGATTTGTATATTCACTGTCATTCATACATGCCTCTTTTCATTCTTCATAATCACCATCCAAGTAATAATCAGAACAATCGTCGAAAGTGGCATCCAGGATACTAATAATCGAAGATTGAGTTGCCATGACTCAGTCCAGTATCAGGAACGGAGAAGACTCCACAGAAGCCTGGACTGGGCTTGACTTTTGAAGAGCTGTATTGCTCTAGAGACCTATCATTGGAATACCCATAAGATTTATATACCCAATCAATGCAATGCGAGCGATTGACGTTTGGAATGGGAATACCTACTTACTCAAATTGTAATACATCATGTGGTTCAATCGAGTGAATGAATTACTTCCAATGCACGGAGAGTAGGATGATCAGCATTTTCTGAACGCCAT